GTTCTCACTAACTTTTCTGACTTTTTAATAAATTTGTTTATTTTTATATATTTTTTTAATTTATTGACACTCTTAAATTGACTAATACAACTGTTTGAGCTGGGTGTATTAGTCAAATCTATGGTCACCAACGGCTGAGTAGACTTTTGATCACAAGTGACATTTAACAATTCTGTATACAGATCTAAGGTGTTATTGTAGCTACTCACCCATTTGTGTTCCAACATAGATTCACTATGTGCTTGTGCTTCCTCAAGGTGTCTCTCGAGGTGAGTGATACGCTGTAAATTTGACGTATTTTTCGAAGCACACATCACACTGGCCAGAATGACATCTATTGACTCTTTTTTACAAAGTACCCACTTTAGTACATAACATATCTTTCCCCCGAGATTGGTAAACATTTACACAACACAATTTACGTTCACTTTTAAATTTCATTGTCCATGCACATTTTGTTAACACTTAAATAACTAATTACTAGGCTAATTTTTTGTTAGAGAATGGTCGGCGAGTTATTCTACTTCAAATGATTCGTCTGTTTCAACCTCAGACTCTTTGTCCTCCAAGTTACACTCTACCCGCGATCTTACTGTCTTGGAAGATAGTGTAGGTGGGGATAATGATAAAGCTCTCTTTGTCCTTAATATTTCACCTGAACTTCCTGGCATTACAATGTCTTGTGGCCCTGATACTCCAATGATGTCAGCCCATTTCTCTGGAGATGGTATAACCACATGACTTTCATCATCACTATTATATTGGGTTGCATCAGGCCTTGAAGTATTTTTTAAACTGTCTCCATTAATTGTTATCCCTCCTTTATGCATCTGGTTAATGTGTCTCAACAACAACCTTCCATTCCATCGTACCAAGTATCTACATACCCCTACTCTCTTCTCCACCATTCCTCGTAACCATCGAGGTCCTTTGCTATAATTGCGAACATACACAGACTCACCAATTTCAAATGACCGTACTTTAAGTTTTTCATTGTTTTCATTTGCACTTAATTTTCTATCTGTTTTATACGATAATGGATTTAAATAGTCGAACTGTGTTCTGAACCGACGGTTGTTCAGAAGTTCCGCAGGTGTTTTTTCATTAACACTGTTAGGTGTGGCTCGCAATCCATATAATAAGTTCGGCAATCGGACATGCCAGGGTTCTGATGTTCTTTTCCTAAGTTTATTTTTTACTGTCTGTACTGTACGTTCAGCTTGCCCATTCGATGATGGATGATAAGGAGGTACTAATATCTGTCTAATTCCACAGCTCTTAAGATATTTCTGAAATTCTTCTGAAATGAAACTTCGACCATTGTCACTTACAATAGAATCAGGTAAACCTTGTTCAGCAAAAATATATCTTAATTCTCGAATCAATGTAGCACTGCTAAGATCATTTACTATTTTAACTTCTGGCCACTTAGAGTATGCATCTATGAGTATTAAAAAAGATTTAAATATTCTTTATTGCACTTAAATACATTTGTAAGTATATTAATTACAGCTAATGTTAACAAAGGAGGACTTATCTCTAAAAGAGATCTCTTCCAGTCAACCCAATAGAGCTGGCAAGGAAGTGTTGAATGGGTTAAAATGTGCAAATTATATTTTTTATGAAAATGTCAAAATAATTAAAGCTAAACATAAAAATATAATGTCCGAAATACAGATACTAATACAATATACTGAGCCAGTTTATTTGCGGACAACGTTATAATTTTAATTTTCATACTGCTTTCTTGATATATGATAGCGTAGCGGCTTTTGTATTGATTGCCGCATGCATCCTTATGAAAAGTGCGAATACTGTAACTACCATATAGTAATTTTTGTAGCTGTGACGTGGTCGTGTGGAATGAGTAGTCATGCTCACTAAAATGTCCAGACATGTGGCGGCGTGGTGGGCCGGGTCAATGGGCTCCTAAAATATGGTCGATAGCGCAGTGATGGCTGGCTCATCCGTCATACTCGTGAACGAGTGCTGCTTGTAGGGACTGGTCTGCTCTTATCACTACGACTGATTTAATCTTATTGCAAGATTATATTTGACCCAAAAAATTAGTGCTTGTTGGTAGTTTGTATTCACACGTTTCGACTTGTAAATGTAAACTGAACACATAAGTTTCTTGCTCGTTCTTCTTGTGATGAGACAGTTTTGGTAATAAAAAACAAATTGTTATGACTATTCTGCTTAAATTAAGTTTATTTGAATAAATGATTTTCTATTCTATTCTAAATACCTAAACAAAAAAATTACATTTATAATAAGTATTTACCATAAATATATACATAAATCAACCAAGAAATACTACAAAGATATATATCAATGATGACACTAATCACATAGCAGTAGAGAGGTAATATGATTTTAACTTTTTCTTAATAAGAACCACTAGATGGACTTTTTTGAATCTCCAAAGGGAGATTATTCCATAGCTGAGCAGCATTTACCCTGAAAGATTTACCCTGAAAAGGTCCAGCGTAATCAACGTGTACTCTTGACCAGGCCTTATCTGGTTTCAACCACTGATGAGTAACTGGAGCAGGCATGTTCCTATTTTCTGAGCAAATATTACAGTTTTTTATCATCTCTTCAATTTGTTTATCCATACATGGCCACCAAAAATAACTTCTAGCTAAAGCTTTACTAATAACTATACCATCATGGTTCCGGTGTAATTCTTCCAATATATAAGAGCGCATTTTCTCTGGCACCACCACTCTATTTCCCCACAGTATACAGTCACTATGTACAGATAATTCCTCTCTAATTTTCATAAACATTTTATAGTCTGTATGTACCTTAGAAGGCCATCCATTTCTTATCCAATATAATATTTTACTTAAAACTTTATCTTTTTCGTAAGTTTTGCTACATCTTTAGCTGTAAATTCTAGTTCCATTGGTGTCTCCTCAATTAATAAAACTCCTGAATATTCCTTTTCTATAGTTGATTCTTCTGCTGGCCACCGGCTTAATGCATCAGCATTTCCTAACTTCCTGCCTTCTACATATTGAATCTCGTAATCATATGAGTTCAATAAAAGTGCCCACCTCAGCATTCTGGGTGATATAATTGTAGGAATTGGTTTTCCTGGTCCAAAAATGCCTAACAGTGGTCTATGATCTGTTTTAATTATCACTTTCCGTCCACTTATGTATTGATGGAATTTCTTCAAACCAAAAACAATAGCAGCTGCTTCTTTATCAATCTGAGCATAGTTTCGCTCATGGCTATTCATAGTACGTGATGCAAACATAACTGGTTTCACCATACCATTGTTCATTTCCTGTTCTAGAACAGCACCAAGTCCATACTGAGAAGCATCACAAGACATAATCAATTTCTTGGTGCCATCATATTGAACCAGTGTATCTTCATTGGATAACATTGTTTTCAATTTTGTAAAAGCAGTGTGTTGTTCTTTGTTCCATTTCTATTTGGAGCCTTTCTCTAATAATCTATATAATGGTTCAGCAATGGTTGCCTTATGAGGTAAAAACCTATCATAAAAATTAAGAAGTCCTAGAAATGCCTGTAATTCCTTTATATTTTTTGGTGCAGGTGTCTTCTCAATGCAATCAATTTTCTCTTTAGATGGATGTATTCCTGACTCATCTATTAAATAACCTAAAAACTTGACCTTAGGTACTGCAAACAAACATTTTCCTTTATTCACTCTTAGACCAGCTTTTTGTAACCTCTGTAACACCATCTCCAGTCTTGCATTGTGTATGTTGATATCCTTACCAGAAATAACGATATCGTCTAACAGAACAGCTATTCCTGTTATTCCTGCCAGTAATGAAGTCATCAGCCTTTGAAAAATACCAGGACAAGCTTTAACACCGAAGGCCAACCGCTTTACTTTGTATAATCCTCTAGGTGTATTTACTGTAAGCAAGCTGGCTGTGTTATTATCGACAGCCACCTGTGTGTATGCTTGCTCCAAATCAATTTTTGAGAATATTACTCCCCCCTGAAGCTGCACAAAAGCTTCATTAAGTGTAGGTAAAGGGTATGTATCTGTATTAGTAGCTGCATTCACTGTGGACCGATAATCTCCACACAAACGTACCTGACCATTTGCTTTTAATACTGGGACTATCGGAGTAGCCCATTCAGAATGTGTAGTAGGTTCTAGTACCTCCTCTTGAACCAGTCTGTCTATTTCTTTAAATACTCTTTCTCTAATTGCAAATGGAATGGGTCTACTTTTAAGGAACTTTGGTACAGAACCCTCTTTTGGTGTAATATTCACTACTGGTCCAGTGTATTTGCCTAAACCAGGCTCAAAAATCTGTTTGTATCTATATAACAATTGTGTTATCTGTCCCTTATTAAAATCCATTGATTTAACATTATTTAATCCTTCTATACTTATACCCAATTGTGCAAACCAATTCCTGCCAATTAGGCTTGAACCACTACCTTTTGTAATTAATATATTCATAATTTTACTTATTTGATTATATTTTACATGGACTTTCGTCTGACCTAATAATACTAATTTACCTTCTGTGTAAGATTTTAATGCAATATCTGTTAATTCTAGTTTAGGTAATTTACCCTTCCATATTTGTTTGGCTGTTATCTCATTTATAATTGTATATGGGCAACCTGAATCTACTTCCATCAGTAATTCCATTCTATTAAGGAATACTCTAATCACAAAAGGATCCACTTTGTCTTGTCTAATGCTGTTGATTCCCACTTCATATAGCCCATTACATTCTGAATTATACTTCTTACCTTGGCTGGACTTCAATAAACAGGCTGCCTCTATATGACCAATTTTCCCACAATGATGGCATTTAGTCCAGCGGAACCTACATTCACCCCTATGTGGTTTCCCACAACGAAAACAGGTTGACATATTCTCATTATTCTTATTTGTGCTTTGAGAAGACATTCTCTGACTCACCCGTACTTTGTTAATATCCATTGGCACTATTGTATCAAGAACTGGAGTATTTGTACTACATGGTGTGATAATATTTGCATCAAAATTTGCAGTTTCCTGTGATAATACTATGTCACAAGCTTGTTCAAATGTTAATTGCCTTTGTTGAAGCAGTTTCCTCCGAATATCTTTATCTAATATTCCACACACCAATCTATCTCTCAGAGTACGATCTAAATCAGTGAAATTACAACCTATACTTAATTTACGTAATTGAGCAATATAATTTTTTATCATTTCACCTTCCTCTTGATTTCTTGTGTGAAATTTATATGATTCTACAATTTCATTAGGTTTCGGATGGAAATGATTATTCAAAATGCCCACAATAAAAGAGAAAGTCACATCACTTATTTTACTTGGAGATATCAAAGAAATGATTAAATCATATAATTCAGGGCCACAGACCGCCAATAAATTCGCTTTTTTCTTTGTATCTTCTTCAATTTCACTAGCTTGGAAGCAAAAACATAACCTTTCTATATAATTTTGCCAACACCCATGTGCTATATCAAACTCGTTAAATTTTATGCCCATTATTGTTATTTATGTAATTAGTAAGATAATAATCACTTTATTGCACTTTTCCACTATTTTCTCTCGTCGCCACTATTATATACTCACTAAAACACGTATTTTTCGAAGCACACATCACACTGGCCAGAATGACATCTATTGACTCTTTTTTACAAAGTACCCACTTTAGTACATAACGCAAGCAGTAAATATTTTAGGATAATAATAATAATATGACTTATTTATTTCTCCTCACAAACATGATGGCAACAATACATGTAGTATTTTTTATAGTAAAATACTTAAATTTATTATTTTAATCGATTTGCTGTGAGGAGCTGGTGTCTGAGATAGGCATAACCTGTAATACAGATCACCAGGCCCCCAACCGAAAATTGATATAAGTTAACCAAATTATGATGCTTATACTACACTAAATAAATTATAATTATACAACGTTTAGAGATATAAAGAAAAAAAAAACGAAAAAAATAGTAGGCGAATTAATAAAGTAGAGAGTACACAGTTGTGGAAAGAGAATGTTGGAATACCATTGAGAAGGGTGGGCCTATGTGTGTGAGTGCGTGTGTGTGTGTGTATGCGTGTGTGTGTGAGTATGCGTATGTGTGTGAGTATGTGCGTGTGTGCGTGGGTGTGTGTGAGAGTGTATATGTTTGTGTGAGTGTGTATGCGTGTAAGTGTGGGTGTGTGTGTAATTGCCCTACTGAGGCTGATTGTTTGTGTGAATGTGTGAGTATAGGAGTATTTGGAAGTTAGTGACGTGTGTACAATGGAGTAATATTCTTCAAACCTATTAACTATACAAATAAATACTAAGTAAAATTCAGCTTAAGATGGTTAGTATATTTTCCGTAGCGTCGTAATCCAGTGTTTTAAGCCACTTAGTGAGCTTCAATTTACAGTTACTGCAAGGCAAACAATAGAAGGAAAGTATGCTATTTATCTTATTGTACAAGTAGCTGCCCAAGAAACAGTAAAATCTTTGAGCTAAAGTGGTTTTAAAGGGTTTAGTTTGGCATACTGTTCCCTTCCTACGTTTCGTGCCCATCAAAACGGGATCGAAGTTAACTTCAGAATGCATGCGTAAAGTAATTGCAAGGATGAAAGATTGTCTAACCGTCAGCACATCCCAAATCTCGTACACGTTAGCAGTTGGGTGGCGAAACGAGAGTCTAGCCCCGACCTTCAGTATCGCGCGTTGAGCTTTTTCGACAGTCATAAGATGTGTTTTGGCAGCACCACCCCAGGAGGAAATACAATATCTTATAAGGGAATGACATACCGCAAAATATACCAATCTGATTATTTTAGGGTCCGATAGGTGTCTAAGGATTTTGAAAATATAAATTAGTTTGCGGAGTCTTGCACCAAGCATTTGAGTGTGAGCTTTGAACGTTAAGGTGTTATCGATCATTACACCTAGATACTTCAACGTGTCGCAATTTTCAAGAGGTTCACAATTGCAGTCATTGTATTTGTTGTTACATTTATGGCCTATTACGTAGTGGTCAGTAGGTATCCGTTTCTTTGTTAGAGCAAAGGTCATGACCTTGGTTTTTGATACATTTAGGGTAAGTATATTTCTGCACAGCCAGTCGCTGACCTTATTGAATCCCTCTTGAGCAAAATTAAATGCTTCATTCCAAGTGGTACCACGGAAAATTAAGACAGTATCGTCAGCAAATGCAATAATTTTACAATTTTGTAGTTCGAGCTGACAAAGTCCGTTTATGTAGACTAGAAATAAGGTCGGAGCGAGGATACTGCCTTGGGGGACCCCGTAGGTAATTGGGAGTTCGTCACTGATCCAATGACCAATTTTAACTCTTTGGAATCTATTTTTTAGGTAATCAGAAAAAAGTACCAGGGGTAGGCCTCTCACACCAATCATCTCTAGTTTATGGATAAGCAAGGGTACGGAGACGGTATCAAAGGCCTTGGCTAAGTCGATGAAGATAGCAATGGTTTTTAGTCCTAAGTCCAAATTGCAGGCTACTGAATCAGTGAGGTCATGTACTGCATCATGCGTGGATCTCTCTCTTCTAAAACCGTACTGTGCCGGTGACAGAATATTGTTAGCTTCAATAAAGTTAATCAGTCGTTTATTCAGTAGCCTCTCGAGGATTTTAGATAAGGATGGAAGAATAGAAATTGGCCTATAATTATTGACATCGATATTGCTCTCGCTCTTGTGAATGGGTTTTACAATTGACCTTAAGTGCTCGTGGAAAGATTCCTGTTTCAAAAGCCAGATTAGAGATAAAAGTTATGGGTTTTGTCAGT